CTCTGAAGGACGAATACGTAGACATGATCGAAAAGGGTATCATCGATCCCACGAAAGTTGTACGCACGGCGCTCACCGACGCGGCGGGCGTTGCGTCGTTGTTGACGACGGCGGAAGCGGTCATCACCGAGTTACCCAAGGAGGAACCGCAAATGCCGATGGGCGGTATGGGTGGTATGGGAGGAATGGGCGGCATGGGCGGCATGGGTGGTATGGGCATGTAAAAAAAGAAAGACAAAGACTGAAAAAAGGACAACCCATACTGCGATCCTGTTCTTATGAGACACAATTACGCAGCGCAACGTTGTTAGTTCCGGACATTTAGCTTAGTTCGAACAGAACGGAGATTTCCAGTCACAGTTTATATTTTGAAACATTACAGGCGATAACACACTATGCATCTAATACAAATCCATCCTTCGAAGACGCAGTTTGTTTCATATTGTTTCTGTTCTACGGATCTGTAACATTGTTACAAAATGTATACTTGAAGTCATTCATTCTTTTTCATTTAATAAGTGAGTATGTATGTAGTGCATATAAGAATATCTTAAATATGCAAATGCGTTTAATGTAAAAAAAATAGTTATTACATTATGAAACTTGTTGATATGTTTATACAGGTGATTTTGTGACAAATTGACAATTTAACCAATTACATAATTTTTAAATAAATTTTAATTGTTTTGCCCATCGTTAAATCCTTCGTGTTTCAAGTAATATAATTATTTCATAAAGTCAGAAACGAAAACAGGTAGCTCTTATTCAATGCTTGATATATTAACATATTTCCAATTATAGTATTCATTAGAGATGTAAATGTAAAAGTAAGAATGTATGTGTTAATTGTGGAAGGTTAATTATTTAGATTCTTTCATAATTTTATAATTATTAAATTTATTTTCTGCTTTAATAAATGTATGTTTAGATTACAACTTCATTTTTCATATGTGCATCTTATACTTAATTTTACAAATTATATTATTGCAATCAAGTAAATAATTAAGAGTTTAAAAATGGATTTTTTTTTATTAGAATATATATATAATATGAACATTCTTATTATTATCCACTGTCTTGTTTTATACACATTTGCTTTTATTTGTAGTATTATACCAAAACACGAATTATGGATTTATGAATATGTCAAAACAATCTTTCAATTATATATATAAGAAATATGTTTCAGTCATCTTACATACGGGTCTATTCCGATGTGATTATCTTAAATATCTGTCGACATTTATGTTTTCAGAATATTATGCTTATTAAATCACTATTATTTTCTGAGATCATAAACATCCAAAGAGATGTTTAGGCTGATCAAATCATCACACGCAATCAAGAAAAATTTAACAAAAAGATATTCTCATTTTTATGCTTTTGTAAATTTTTCATATCACACAAACTCAGTACTTGTACATTTCGTTTTCTATCCGTGACATGAAATTATTATACAGGGTCAAACACACATAAAAAAATTATATAGTCAAATGGAAAGGCATTCCGATCTTTTCTTTGAAAAACAAAGTTAAGTTTAAAGTTGAACAAAATCTCAAAGCAAATAAATAGATTGATGTTTCCTACGTGCATGTGTGAACTTTCTCTCAACACATGCATATAAAAATATTTTCCAAAAGTATTTTTGTGTTCCTACAATATTTCTCGTCCGATCATTATATTTCAATGAAATATACAAAATGTAGTTGCAAGAGAGATAGAGAAAAAGACATAAGTATAAGAGGGGAAAGAAGCAATTTGTTATAGTGTAGCATTGTTGTCCGTGTGTTCATGGAAAAAAAATATTTCGTATTCAAAATACAAAGTCCGCTTTAAAAAATATTATATATATATATATATGTTCTTAAGTTTTTTCAAACACACATAAAAAAATTATATAGTCAAATGGAAAGGCATTCCGATCTTTTCTTTGAAAAACAAAGTTAAGTTTAAAGTTGAACAAAATCTCAAAGCAAATAAATAGATTGATGTTTCCTACGTGCATGTGTGAACTTTCTCTCAACACATGCATATAAAAATATTTTCCAAAAGTATTTTTGTGTTCCTACAATATTTCTCGTCCGATCATTATATTTCAATGAAATATACAAAATGTAGTTGCAAGAGAGATAGAGAAAAAGACATAAGTATAAGAGGGGAAAGAAGCAATTTGTTATAGTGTAGCATTGTTGTCCGTGTGTTCATGGAAAAAAAATATTTCATATTCAAAATACAAAGTCCGCTTTAAAAAATATTATATATATATATATATGTTCTTAAGTCTATAGATATATCCATAATAAAAAGCATACTTATGTTCGCTATATATTAGTCTATATATTAGTCTAAGCGCCGATTTTTTCGATTTCGTCCGCATCTTCCGCGTCTAGATAATGAATTTTCTTGCCAAAGTGTTTCTCTATGTCTTTGCACAATTCCATCGCATGCACCGAGTCAATTAAATTAATAGCAATCCCCGATTTACCGAATCGACCTGTTCTGCCGATCCTGTGCAAATATGTTTCGCAGTCAGCTTGCCGTTTGTGGTCCATCGGCAGATCAAAGTTAACCACTATCGTCACTTGTTCTACATCAATACCTCAAATCAGATATCAAATATTATAAATTTTATATTACCATCTTTATATAATTGTCATAGTATATTTAAAGATAATCACTAAAAAATGCACGGATTATAAGCGTTGTGTATTGCATTATCATTTTTACCTCTGGCTAAGACATTTGTGGTGATGAGAACTTTCTCAAGTCCTGCTCTAAATCTATCTAGTACAGAAATTCTCTGTTCAACTGTCAAGTCACCAGAGAGTATCGCTACTGCGTGCCCATCTCTCGTCATCTTTTCTGCCAACCAACTGGCTGTCTTTTTCGTCTAAAAAATAATACATTATAGTTTATCACAATAATTATTTAGGATTTAATAAATTTTCAAAATACAATCAGAATTCTTACATGACAAAAAATGATTGCTTGTCCGATTGTTATTACGCCATAAATGTTAGTAATAGCTGTATATTTCTCATCTATACTTTTGCATTTAATGTAGTACTGTTTGATATTGTCTAAACTCTCTTCTTCCCTTAATAGCCGTATTATTAATGGATTACTGACTATAATCTCTGCAAAGTTCATCACTTCTGGTTCATAAGTCGCAGAAAAAAACATCATTTGACATTTCTCTGGATCAAGTAATCTGCATATAAAGTAAATATAAGTAATGTCTCGTGTAAAATATGGACATATTATTTAATTATACAATGCACTGTGATATCTCTGAGAAATTACTTATGGATGCGGATGCATTGATCTTGGTGACCTTGTGTAGCAATCATTACGTCTGCTTCATCCAATACAAAAACAGATATTCTGCTTAGATCAAAGTATTTAAATTTGTGTCCCCAATCCAGCACTTTGCCCGGAGTTCCTATAATTATGTGCTCGGTGATCTTTGGTTTAGTTCTTTCTCTTCTGTTCTCGTCGGTTGATTCACGGCTTACTGAAATAGTTAAAGCAATGTCAATTGTAAAAGTTCCATGGCAAAAAACAAATTCAAATTTCATAAAAAAAAAATATATATTACTTTCTTCTCCTCTCACGGCGTACTTTATTTTTATCTCGGGACAAAAGCGTGACATTTTTGCCGCTACTTCACCCGTTTGAATCGCCAATTCATAAGTTGGTGATAGACAAAGTACTTGTGGGTAATTTTTTGTAACATCCACCCGACTCAACATGGCGAGTACAAATGCAGCTGTTTTACCAGTTCCAGATTGAGATTGTGCAATCATATTCTGTGGTCTAACAAAATTTTTTCATAAGTTTAAAGACTACGTTTAAAAAAAATCGAAGATTTATAGAAAGCAACTGGCTTATGCTTACGGATCAGCGAGTAAGGTAGGTAATGCAGTCTCCTGAATTCTTGACGGGGCATTAAACCCCATAGCGTATACTCCTTTCAATAGTTCAGGCTTGCTATATTAAAAAATATTTGTATAAAAATTTATATCATCATATGCCATTATTTCAGTGTAGAATAAAAATTATAATTATTTACAGATGAAGAGCATCAAATGTTTTGACACTATATAATGGAGATTGTGGATCATTTCTTTGAACCTCTATATCTTTTGTCGTTTCAACTAATTTTTTCCTTAAAATCTTTTGCAGGTGTGATTTCTCCGCCGGTGAAATCTGATCCTCCGCTGTATCATCATCGCTCTTTGCATCTCCATCTTTTACAGATGCAGCAGGAGTCAGCTATATAATATATACGATCAATCATTTGAACAAGAAGTTCAATGTGATAGTTAAAACTAATAGGTACACAGTTATTTCAGACACATAAAATGTGTGCATACAAAATAGGTTAACCGGTACAAAAGCTATTATCGCAAATAATAAAATGAATCGTGGATTGAATAGCGAGTCGCAATTTTACGAGTAGCGGTAATTTTTTGTTACATTCAATGTACATTGTAAACATGAAGAGAATTATGCTCAAGCAAATGTGTAATATATTTCCCGCGAGAACCCCATGTTACCTTTGATGTTAATTTGTCTTGTTCGTCGGCATATTGGCCCCAGTCGACCTTAGTCGAAGCCATATTCATCAGTTCTTATTCTTTCACGATTTAAATCCGTTGAATGCGTGAATCACGCCAGATCACGCTAAAATATCTAGTCGGTTATTTCGTTGACAATGGATCGAAAATGGTTCATGACGTCGTGATGGGTCATGGGTCGCAAGACGCAAAGAGTGGCAAAGGAGGAGTGAAGAGCGACGGGTGAGAGGCCAATTGGCCGACTGAGAAATCAGCTTCAAATTGATTTTAGAGACTCCACGCGGAAAAATAGGAAACTCTGGCTTCGGGGCTGCCAATGCCGAGAAAAAATTTCACTAAATTAAACGCAATGATTTCCACCAGTTTCCACTAAAATCTAGTATCATTGGTATTTTAAAAAGATGATCGATTAATCGATTCCTATTCATCCCCACTTATCGATAAGATCCCGATATGATTATATCGCGGCCATCAAAGACTTCTTTCTGTCTTACGAGAAACTGGAGGCTTACCATGTCAGAACAGTAAGTGTTTTCGTTTCTTATTTCGGGAGATAGATAGAAAAGAGAGTCTCGAATTCCAATTCGTATAATTCCCCATTAAAAATGATATATTAAACAATAGTTTTGGAGAGTCGCGATTGCCTTAACGTTCGTGAAAATGAACAGGTTAGAATCGGCGAACGCCTCTAACAATGACGTTGTTGTGATTCGAAGCGAAAAATCTTTCCCACACTAACGTCTCGTTCACGTTTCCTTCTAAAAAGCTTTCTCTCGTTAAACCTTCCAGTGATGATACCTTGCTAGACGAAGATCTCGGGGACGAAGAATATGATTTGGGTAACGATGAGGAAGAAGCTCTTCTAGCGGATGACTATGAAATAGAGAGGGTGAGCATATTGTTTACCCATTATTTTTCAGTCGGATGAAACTTACCCGTTTGATATATTCGGCTATTTCAATCGTGCTTTGCTACCATTGATACCTTAATTTGAAAATACCTTGTTCTTAAATCTTTGTTTTTGTATACATTTTGCTTTTGTTGACCTAATTCATATCAAAAGTAGTTTCTGCAATTATTATATCATTTAATGTCACATAATATCGACAATTAAACA